ATTTGTTCCAGATTTGAACTTACTACTTTTATGTTTTAGTACATTATTTTAAAATTCTAAAACCTTTTTAACATCCATAAAATGCAAATTTTGTCTGCTTTTAATTTATTTAATAATCATGTTCTCTCCTTATGGTGTCAAGTAATATACAAGACTCAAAAATAATATTTTAAGTAAACCTAAACAATAAATGAGTATTTTTTTTATTTTTAACTAGGATTTCATGTTTATGTATGTACATAAAAACATTTTAATTTTGTTTCATAAATTTATTTTTATTTCAAGTTTATGTTTCATTGCAGCTGTACTTTTGGTTATTTTTGCTGAAAAAAAACTATGAGGTTAGCAGCGTGAACTTCATACATTTATCATCAACTATCATGCCTGTTGGTGGTCACACTCGTTTAGTCCAGCGCAGGCGCATTTGAACACTACTGTAGATATGATAGTAAGAAAGCTTTTCAGTACTTGAATATCATTTCTTAGAACTTTCAAATAAGTTTATTTCAATATATGTCCTTGTATGTTATTTCACTATACAGACAAAACTAACTGCCACTACTAGTGAATCTGTGTAATAGTTTACAGTACAGGTGGTTTTAATAACACCACTTGACCCTAGTTACATGATACATCCAGTTATCAAACGATACAGACATCATAAATTACAAAGAAAATTACTTTACAGCACTTAAAAGATTAGTTCTGGTCACATTCCTCTCATTATAGGCAAGATTTATGTTAGAATTCAAAACTTAAGCTCTTCAGTGTATCGACACCCCAGCTGTGAGAATGTCATAGCTTCCCCTGTATTATTGAGACGAATGTGCTTAGTCTGTCTCACAACCAACATGTGGGTTTTATTGTTGTCACTTGTACACTGAGTTTTAAGCCACTTGCATAATATCAGAATCAAGTTTTTATATATCAGACTGTTTTAATTATAAAGCAACAACAACAGAAGTGTGGGTCTTACTACAATTTACAAAGAAAAGGTAGAAAGAAGGAAAAATATAAAATTCTTGTGTGGTACTGGTACTAGTAGTAGTATATACAAATCACACAAGTTTATCATTCTAAATACTGAATCATATTTTTATTATGAACTAAATATAGAAATATGCTAAATTATTAAACTTAAAACTACTACTTGAAATGCAAAAGAATATAAAAAAAACAAACTACTTTCAGTTCAAAGTGCCAAGCCTAATTCACGTAAAGACCATACACTTGCCACTTGATAGATCTCAACCCTAACATTCGTGG